TGTCACGTGTCGCACAGCCGTGCCGCCATCCAGCCTGTGCGTGTCTGCCCTTTTTGCACGTGTGTTTTGAGGAAATCCGAAGGGAAAATGGGAACGTCCGAGAGAGTATAAAGTGGATGCGACTGGAAAGAAAACAAAAATGAGAAGCCGAGAAGCAGGCGGCTTCGTCAGCCTCATGCCGTTTCCTGGTGCGTGGCTCTCGCGTCCCACGCGAGGGGCTAAGCGTGAGGGTGGCAGCGCCATCGGCCGCATGCTGCTCCACAGGAAGGAGGTGAAGTGAGTGGCGGTGACCGGCGCTGCCCCCCAGGGGCGTTCTCTGCGAAAAAACTGCTCCGTTTCCCCTTCTGTCCACATTGCGAAAGTCCAAACGTTCGTCCAGGCCCACAAAACGATTACTCCATTCCCAAAGGTCAAAAAGATCATTCACGGGGCTTTTAAATAGAAGCTTAAGGTGTCACATGGAACCCAGTTAGAGCCCGTGGAGTTGCTGGGCTGGCCACACGGCGGTGGCCCACACTGCCACTGTTCGGAAAAACCCGAGAAATCTTGGGGCTGACCCGGCAGAGGACGCGTGCGGCGCTTTCAGTCACACGGAGGTCCGGACGGCGTTCGCGTGAAATGACACCGCTTTCTGTAAAATCTGGTACATTTAATTTCGGCATAATAGTGATTTATTACATATGAATACTTCAAAAATATACTTTCACATCCCACAAACCACTGAGGCACTCGACGGGGCCTAGAGGCACGCTCTCGCTCCGAAGGCCAGGCTGCTGTTGCACGGAAGGCAGTGCGTCCCGTCGCGGGGGTTGTAGGACCCCGGGCTGCAGATCACTGCGGACAAAGCACACACCGGTCAGCGACAGTCGCCTCAGAGGCCACGTTATGTTGTTAAGCTACTTTACACGGAGGTTAAACCTCCAAAGAGGATTCTACTTAAAACGTTTTTTGTTTTCAACTGTGGTGAAACACGTGTCACATACAGTTTCCCGTCTTAACCACTGCTCAGTTGTTCGCATCGCCACGCAGCCAATCGTCAGGGTCTCGTCATCTGGGAGACGCCGCAGCCCGGTGTCCGCTGCACACTCCCCGCTTCCCTCCCCACGCCCCCTGCAGCCACCATCCTACCCCCTGCTTCTAGACATTTAACGACTCGAATACCTCGGGAGTGAAAACTTTGGACTGTTCGCTCTGCCCCTGGCTTAGACCTAGGCTACGACCTAAAACGGTTTCACTGATCACATAACGTTGACTTTAAAAGTTAGACGGGCCACAGAGGTCAAGACCACAGGGGGAACCAAACGTGGCTGTGACATCGTGCACGATAACCATGAGTTACACGTGCGGAGACAGCTCAGATGCAGGGAGGACCGCCGCTTATTGCTCAGAATATCCTCATTTCAAGTCCTATTTCTCTGACTTGATGAATGTGCAGTTTTGGAAAAAGTACTGAGCCTAACTCAACTCAACTTGATCCTCCCTAACGTAAGGATTCTGTGTACCGTGACCCTGTTCCCACGGCTCCCTCTACATGATAGAAGGCAAAGGAGGACAGAAACCAAGGTCAAGGACGCTTCCGGCCACCGCTGAACTCTGGGGTCCCAGGCAAAGGAGTCGATGCTCTAGTCCCAGTCCCCTTGGTGGTACGACGGGCGCCGTCACGACCACGTCCACCCTATTACTGTGAGGACGAAGCGACTCATCAACAGCGAAGAACCCAGAGCGTCACGGGCGCTCAGTCAATGCCAGCCCTCGGCACGGGGCCCCGCTGCCTCTGCCCACGCGCCACGTCCTCCCCTCGGGGCCGGGGCCTGAGGTCACGGGCGCCGTCAGCCCTCTCACTGGGCTGGGGTCTCGCAGTCCCGCTGCTCCTTTGCTACTGCTCACTAGGCAGCCAAGGGTCCGCAGGATGCCAAGGGCGCTGCAAGGCATGGTTATCATGGGCCGGCGAGCACATTCTTTTTTTAGTGCCACGATTTGATAACACGTCACTGTCTGGTTCTGGGTCAGGTCCTACTATTTAATTTCATATCATCCCTTTTTAAAAATATCTTTTCAAACTGGAAAATATTTTAACTGTGACTCAGAGAAAGCATTTTCCATTCCAGGTTCCACAGAGTTCCTCGAGTCTTAAGAGACATTTTATTTGGGGAATAATGAAAAAATACTGGTTAAACTAAGTTAAATTTACTTGCTGTAGTAATAGATAACAAGAGCATTTAAAGCGGCTATGTATATGGTACAATTCTAATGATGGAATATAACATTTCCTGAACCCGTGTGATCATGGCATACTCTCTCTCAAAACACAGATTAATGCTTCTTGAAGCACAAATATGGACCGGGACAAAGGATTAAATTGTTACACTGTGTGCAGTCTTTACACGAATATTTCTACTGGGTGTCACAGAAACTGACACCAGCACAAAATCATCTAAACAACTTTACATAAATACGATCTTCTAGTAACTAGTCTTAGAATTAACAGACCTTCATGATACAGTACGTGTAACACCACAGCGATACCAGAACAACACCACACGGTGACAGATACTACAGCATGTGGCATTCTCTCCTAGTGTAAATCCTAAAATATTTCATTATCTTTTAAGTAGATTTGAGGAAAAATGCTAAAAGGTCATTTCAAGTCCAAAACTAGCGAGGTTATCGTCTAGGTTTGTGTCCCACTGCGGAGAACCTCTCCCAGCTGGAGCAAGGACAGCAGCCTGATTCATGACAAGGGACAGGGGCACTGCTGAGCGATCAGTGCTGACATACAAGGCAACGAC